GTATCTCATCATCAGGCAAAACGATCTTCTTCAATGCCATTTTTTTGTTGGTCAACCTGTTAATGGCCAATCAAAACAATGGCTTCACTTCCCTGTAGAGATTCGTCAAAAAGGTTGTACTGCCAAGTTCAACAACCAACTCAAGAATAAGTCCAACAGAAATTCATAGAATGTCAAACAACTAGAACAAAATGAGTATACGTACCCCTTCCATCTTCAGATGCAATCTTCAGAAACAAAAGAAAAATCTAACAACTAGAAAAACAATCAGAAAAGAGGAAAATATTTGAAAGAAAGAAAACAAGTAAGGTAGCACACATTCATGTCTACAAAATAGTCAAAAACAAAATTAACTTTGTTCATGATAATTCACAAATTATCCAACTGATGATAGGGAATGGGGGGGAGGGGTGATAAAATGAGTGTTCGAAGAGCAATGCAATATATGATAATAAGTCAATTAAGAAGAATTACAAAAGAAAGAACAAGCAAAATACAATCACAGGCTCAACATCACCCACAAAAGCCGACAGTTGAAATGCATATATTTGATATTAACTTTCTTAGGCCACTCTTTGGTATTTGAGTCAGCCAAAGTAACATTTGATATTAAGAATGCTCTAGCAATTAGTTGGCATGTGCCTTCTGAATCACTTTTTTCTTTGGCTTGAAGGTTGCAAATCAATCCTAAATATAACGGAGATAATATTCATTTATTTTAAAAAATGACTTCTTATTTTTCTAAATTTATTAACCCACACCCACACCCACACCCACACCCACACCCACACCCACATTCTTTTAATACATATATATTTTGTATAATGGTGACGTAAAGACCAGAAAAAATATATATACTTGATAAATAAAAAATTTAATATAATGATAATATCACATATCACCAAATAATAAAACTACACAAGATTAATAAATCTCACTATTTAAAATAATTTAATAACCGCTACAAAGTGGGTTTAATCACGCTTATATAAAAATTTATTATTGAGTGATGATATCACATATCAGTGATGAGGTGATATGATCATTGTATTGAAAAAAAATTAAAAAAAAAATAATTCCAGTCAAGGGAGTCAAGGTCAATGTCCTAATAATGAATTTTTTTTCTTTTTAAGTAATTTTTGCTTCATACAGAAAAAAATAAAAAAATAATAATTCCAGTCAAGGGAGTCAAGGTCAATGTCCTAATAATGAATTTTTTTTCTTTTTAAGTAATTTTTGCTTCATACACTATAAACAAAAACTACAAACACTCTGACATAAATTTATGCATATATATATATAAACAATCTATATACAGTCCAAATAAATTGCATCAAACAATGTCAATGTCATATTCTACATGTCAAAGAACAAAACCAAAGCAATTTTGAATAATCTGGGCATCACATTCCAATATTTTTCAATGATTCATAAATAAACTAACCATGCACAATCAAAAACCAAACACGCTAGAAAATTTAAAACTTAAAAATCCTTTTAAATATTTCAGGAAATTTTTCAAGTAAGTTTAGAACATCCATAGTTCTACACCTAACAACAACAGTAGAGTCCTAAATAATGTTAGTCTTGGTTTCAAAGCAGAAACTAGTGCATACGGTGCTAAACCCATAGGGCCGGGTTTGGGTCGTGACACTTCAAAAAGCCTTGTAGGAATCCATTTTCTCCATCTGCCCTATGTTGAATCATATTCTCTATAGTTCTAGTCTTACTACGTTTTATTTATTTATTTATTTATTATTTTTTTATACTGTTCTATTCACATTTTGTTTATCTTTTGTGGATGTAGTAATATTTCTATTGTTTTCTGTTTAATTCTCTCTAGAAACCTGCAGAAATAGGCTACATATGCATGCAAATTTGGTAAATGCTTGCATATATCTTGTTTTGACATTGGCATTTGTTAATATTTTTCGTATGTCTATTCTTCTTCTTTCTTTGTTTTTTTTGTTGGCAGGGTCGTGATATTTCAATTGTCCATCGTGTAATAAAGGTAATAGCCCTTGGAAGAATGTTTTCCTCTCATATGTTATATTGTGATACATGCATGAAAATAACCTTTTATGCATGATGAAAATAAATGTGGTGTCAAAAGGATGCTTATGGGATTGCATGAGCTTGCATCTCTCTGTTTCATATATTTCTTTTTCATATTTCTTGTTTTCAACATTCTGTTGACAACTAATTGAACAGGTTGGCAAAACTGGACGTATGTTGCCAACACCTAGTAGTTGAATGAGGCTTTGTTGAGTTGAGTTGACTCCATTGAGTTCATAAATTAACTTTTTCTCCAAATGGGATGCTCAAAACTTTTCTTCCTTGGGACCAACTACGTTAAAACTAAAAATGGATGTTTGGATTTTTACTTACCTTCCTCAAACTGGACACTTTCTTGAACTTTTTACCAACAAAGTTGTCAGAAATTTTTGTGATTGAAGAAAACAGATCCATAATTCATTTCTCAGTAAATATACCAACCCACAGGATATTTAAACTGCTATTTATTCTTCAATGTCTCTTCATTTTATTTGACTTATATTTTTTTGAAATTTGTGCATATGCCACAAGGATATTTAAACTGCTATTTATTCTTCAATGTCTCTTCATTTTATTTGACTTATATTTTTTTGAAATTTGTGCATATGCCACAAGGATATTTAAACTGCTATTTATTCTTCAATGTCTCTTCATTTTATTTGACTTATATTTTTTTGAAATTTGTGCATATGCCACAAGGATATTTAAACTGCTATTTATTCTTCAATGTCTCTTCATTTTATTTGACTTATATTTTTTTGAAATTTGTGCATATGCCACAAGGATATTTAAACTGCTATTTATTCTTCAATGTCTCTTCATTTTATTTGACTTATATTTTTTTGAAATTTGTGCATATGCCACAAGGATATTTAAACTGCTATTTATTCTTCAATGTCTCTTCATTTTATTTGACTTATATTTTTTTGAAATTTGTGCATATGCCACAAGGATATTTAAACTGCTATTTATTCTTCAATGTCTCTTCATTTTATTTGACTTATATTTTTTTGAAATTTGTGCATATGCCACAAGGATATTTAAACTGCTATTTATTCTTCAATGTCTCTTCATTTTATTTGACTTATATTTTTTTGAAATTTGTGCATATGCCACAAGGATATTTAAACTGCTATTTATTCTTCAATGTCTCTTCATTTTATTTGACTTATATTTTTTTGAAATTTGTGCATATGCCACAAGGATATTTAAACTGCTATTTATTCTTCAATGTCTCTTCATTTTATTTGACTTATATTTTTTTGAAATTTGTGCATATGCCACAAGGATATTTAAACTGCTATTTATTCTTCAATGTCTCTTCATTTTATTTGACTTATATTTTTTTGAAATTTGTGCATATGCCACAAGGATATTTAAACTGCTATTTATTCTTCAATGTCTCTTCATTTTATTTGACTTATATTTTTTTGAAATTTGTGCATATGCCACAAGGATATTTAAACTGCTATTTATTCTTCAATGTCTCTTCATTTTATTTGACTTATATTTTTTTGAAATTTGTGCATATGCCACAAGGATATTTAAACTGCTATTTATTCTTCAATGTCTCTTCATTTTATTTGACTTATATTTTTTTGAAATTTGTGCATATGCCACAAGGATATTTAAACTGCTATTTATTCTTCAATGTCTCTTCATTTTATTTGACTTATATTTTTTTGAAATTTGTGCATATGCCACAAGGATATTTAAACTGCTATTTATTCTTCAATGTCTCTTCATTTTATTTGACTTATATTTTTTTGAAATTTGTGCATATGCCACAAGGATATTTAAACTGCTATTTATTCTTCAATGTCTCTTCATTTTATTTGACTTATATTTTTTTGAAATTTGTGCATATGCCACAAGGATATTTAAACTGCTATTTATTCTTCAATGTCTCTTCATTTTATTTGACTTATATTTTTTTGAAATTTGTGCATATGCCACAAGGATATTTAAACTGCTATTTATTCTTCAATGTCTCTTCATTTTATTTGACTTATATTTTTTTGAAATTTGTGCATATGCCACAAGGATATTTAAACTGCTATTTATTCTTCAATGTCTCTTCATTTTATTTGACTTATATTTTTTTGAAATTTGTGCATATGCCACAAGGATATTTAAACTGCTATTTATTCTTCAATGTCTCTTCATTTTATTTGACTTATATTTTTTTGAAATTTGTGCATATGCCACAAGGATATTTAAACTGCTATTTATTCTTCAATGTCTCTTCATTTTATTTGACTTATATTTTTTTGAAATTTGTGCATATGCCACAAGGATATTTAAACTGCTATTTATTCTTCAATGTCTCTTCATTTTATTTGACTTATATTTTTTTGAAATTTGTGCATATGCCACAAGGATATTTAAACTGCTATTTATTCTTCAATGTCTCTTCATTTTATTTGACTTATATTTTTTTGAAATTTGTGCATATGCCACAAGGATATTTAAACTGCTATTTATTCTTCAATGTCTCTTCATTTTATTTGACTTATATTTTTTTGAAATTTGTGCATATGCCACAAGGATATTTAAACTGCTATTTATTCTTCAATGTCTCTTCATTTTATTTGACTTATATTTTTTTGAAATTTGTGCATATGCCACAAGGATATTTAAACTGCTATTTATTCTTCAATGTCTCTTCATTTTATTTGACTTATATTTTTTTGAAATTTGTGCATATGCCACAAGGATATTTAAACTGCTATTTATTCTTCAATGTCTCTTCATTTTATTTGACTTATATTTTTTTGAAATTTGTGCATATTGTAAGTATAATTACAGGGTACTTCAGTTATGTTTTATTTTCTGATTTTTGTTTTTATTTTTTGATGAACATACAAAAAATATAAATAAAAAAAATAAAAAAAACTATTTTTTTTAACATTGTGTTTAAATTACGAATTTGAATAGAAATTTTAAAAAGGAAAGGAACAGAGGAATTGGAAAAAAAAAAAAAGTTTGGCTTGTCATTTCATTTACATTATTCTCATATTTCCCTTCTTCTTTTTTAAATATTTATCTAAATCCATGAGGGTCTTTGATAGAGTACCCAGTAGTTTTGTGAACATGATAAATGTTGCCTTCACAGCCTAACAAAGAATACTATAAATAACAGCGTAGTATTAGATGGCTCACCCAATTAACATAGAGATGAGATACCCACTTCATAGATTGAAAAACAATTTGCAAAAACGATGACTATATGGAGTATGTGTGCATGGGGATGACTAAATTTAATGTTTCTCTTTATTTCGGTCTACAGCATAAATAAAGAAAATGTGGTACAGTCATACAATAAAGAAAGAGACTAGAAACTTTGGCTTTAAAAGTCTCCACTATTTGTTTTGTTATGATTTAAAATAATCTTACCATACGCATGATCGCCAATTCTATGAGACATTTTTTAAAAGGTGTATATCATATGTTTGATTATAATGTAAATTGATCTTGATCTTGATCTTGATTTATTTTTTTATCATTTTTTGTTGTAATAATAAATTGGAGCCAACATTTGAATTGGACATCACTAGATGTGGGTTATTTTAATTATTTTAAAGTGATATGAAATTAAAATATATGGAGCCAACATTTGAATTGGACCAAACAAAATGGTTACCAAACCGAAAAAAATTCAATGAAAGAAAAAATTATTGTGTGACCATTATGTCATGTATTTTCATTATCACTAATACTTTTGTTTTTAAGGGGTCAGCACTATATCACAGTGATATATATGGAGCCGATGCATGCTCTTGATTTGAGTTTTGACTCAGACAGTGACGATGAAAATATACAATTTCTGGTGTGTGTAGCACTACATGAGTATTGTAATACTTACCTTCAACCTAGACCATGCCGAACGTCCATATTACAAGGACATGACTACGTATTAGAAATATTGAATGGCCATGAAAGAAGGTCCAAGGAAAATTTCAGAATGGAACCAGATGTATTTATTAATTTGTGCGAGGCACTTAAGGTATATGGTAAACTGGAACACTCACGTTATCTGACTGTCCAAGAGCAAGTTTGTATATTTTTGCTAACAATTGGTCACAACGAACGAAATCGTGTTGTCCAAGAGCGATTCCAACATTCTGGCCAAACCATCTCCAAATACTTCAACCGAGTCTTGAAGGCAGTGTGTAGGCTTGGTAAACAAGTTATAAGGCCTCCAGATTTTGATGAGGTGCCTGCAGAAATTCGACATAATCCACGCTTCTATCCTTTTTTTAAGGTAATCACTAACAGAATATTTGAAATATAAATTTTAGTAAAATATCCTGCATTATTAAAGTCATTTGTCAAATAGGATTGTGTTGGAGCAATTGATGGTACCCACATATCTGCAAGGGTGCCAGCATCAGAGCAAATACCATATCGGGGTAAGCATACAGTTACAACACAAAATGTAATGTGTGTTTGCTCATTTGATATGCGATTTACGTATGTATTGGCCGGTTGGGAGGGCACTGCAAATGATTCAAGAGTGTTCATTGAAACCGTACATGATCCAACAAATTTATTTCCAATGCCACCAACAGGTACGTATTATATGGCATTTTGTTAATTTATAATGAATATTCTTTTGTCAACCCATAATAATAGATACATACATGTTGAACAGATAAATACTATGTTGTCGACTCGGGTTATACAAATATGCCTGGCTTTTTATCGCCATACCGTGGTGAGAGGTACCATCTAAATGAGTTTCGTAATCAACGTCGACAACCAAGAAACAAGAAGCAAATGTTCAATTACCGACACTCCTCACTGCGCAATGTGATTGAGAGATGCTTCGGTGTCTTGAAGGCTCGTTTTCCAATTTTGAGAGACATGCCTCCGTATTCAACTAAGACGCAGAGATACATCCACATTGCATGTTGTACAATACACAACTGGATAAGGACACATTCTCAAAATGACACATTGTTCGCTGAATGGGCCAATCCAGATCGTATCGTTGAAGATAATGGGCCTAGTGGAGGTGATAGTAGCAGCTCGACACATGCAGGAAGTAGTTCTCAGCAACCAATTGACTTAGACATTAGTCAACCTCAATTACGTCACATGTCTGATGTAAGGAATCAAATTGCTGGTCAAATTTGGGAATCTCTCGGAAACAATTGAAATATTATTTATGCGTATAATAGATTGTGGAAGATGTTTTTTTTATGGTTTGTGGAAGAATTGAGATGTTATTATTATGGTTTGTAAGTTGTTATGAACATTATGGTTTATTATGGTTATTAAATTTATCTATGGTTGGTATTGTATCAATATGATTATTATGGATAATGTGTATGATCCTATTGTCAAAAAAAAATTAAAAAAAAAAATAAATAAATAAAAAATTAGGCCTTAACAAACATGTTTTTTAGTTTATGTTTTCAAAAATTTTCAAATATTTTGTCCAAACCAAACGGGTTTATTATTTATGTTTTTCAAAAAATAAACAAAAACCAGTTTATAAAATTTTTGTAAATATAAACTGAAAACGTAAACGTTACCAAACGCTACCTAAGTGTTTTTTCAGCAATAAAGAGTAGAAGAATATTTCAACTTACAAGTGTAAGCAGTTCTGAACTACAACGTTATTTGGAAAGCCCGTCAATGGATGATTTCGATGATTTTGGCATTTTGAAATGGTGGAAATAAAATGAAACTATGTGGCATGTGGTTTTACAGATGGCTGGTGATATACTAACCGTTCCTATTTCTACAGTTGATTTAGAAACAGCTTTTAGTGCAAGTGGACAGTGATTATAGGAGCAGGCTTTCACCCCAAATGGTTGAGGCACTGATGATATCCAGAGATCATATGCAAACACTTACAAGTAAACAAAATTATAGTGAAAAGGAGCGAATTCAAAATGATTTGGATGACATATACTCAAGCAACACGACTGAAATATCTGTCTCCTTCGATGATTGATCAACAATTTGCTTTGTACTATTTTATTTCATTTTGATTTTTTTATTTTCATTTTTTATTATTAGATTATTGAGGTGGAGTATAATGCAAATGATTGCTAGGTTAGTAGGTGTCAACCTAGTTAGGATGTACTTGACCTATAATGATGCAATTGATTTACCATCATCAATAATCTACACCTATTTTATTTAATAATATCAATTTTTGTAATATTTTATTTCATTTTGAAATAAAAATTATTCATTCAATAAATGTTATATAAATAATTTAATATTGTAATA